TGCATCCATTGTAAATAGGTTAAGAGGGTATGATGCTTGTGAATGTTACAGGCAGAGCGAGGCTTGCCAGGCCATTGAAAGTATATTGATTCTTCATCTGGATTAAGTAAGATTAAGTGAAAATTAAAAATAATTTTAATTAAGCCTATCATTTAAGATAATAATACAATAAATGGGAACCACATCGTAAAAAAATCGATCCCGGGAAAATACAAAAGCAATTTTGTTGTCAATTTCTTGGACTCACTTAATGAATATCGAAAATAGGAAACCAGATTATTAAAGCATTACTCGAAAATTAGCTGAGTTAGAATACCAAATAATTGTATAGTTAATACAGACTAAACCATTTATTTCCCATTTCCCATTAAATTTAATAACGAGATTGAGATCTTAAAGATAGAGCCTTGCTCCTTGGGATGCACACACTTTTATATGTCATATTTATGCTTTGAATTTCATAGAGATCGGACAATAAGCACCGAAGTTCTTCATAAATAATGTAGGAGCAATGGGAAGAAGAAGTATTGTAACGTCAGCTCAGCTCAGAATCCTGGGTATCTCCTAGTTGAGCACTCCCAAATTGAGCACTCTTGTTCCATTCGACAACGTCATTTGTACTTAATGACTTTTCAACGTTGTGTGCGTGCGCCAACATTTTCTTGAGGCTTTTTTGGTTGTTCGCTTATTGCATTAAATTGCATTTTCGCAGCCAGCGAAAAGGCGAAACTCACCCAAAAAGGGGGCGTAACTCACCTGTTGCTGAGGTTTAATTGGAAAACAAGTAGCATGCATTTCGCGGCGTCTGTTGCTGACAATTTAAGTGCTCAAATGAAGCTGGGAAGGAAAACCATCTGCCATCAGCTAATGCCACAGCCCACAACTTTGCGGCTTAGCTGCTGGCTGCCCGAGCCAAGTAACTGAGTGCTTATATTTAAAGCTCAAATTTCAGAAGCCCAAGACAACTTCAAAGCAATGTGCCCAGATATCTGCTTCCGAAAATAAACAAGAAGAACATAAAATAAATCGCTTCTTATGCGGCAACTGCGGCAGGCATCCAAATCAATGGACAAGCCACACGGCGGCCACAAAGGAAAACAAGTTAGAAATGCTCTGGCAGGGAGTACTTGACTAGAAGATACCCTGAACATAGCAGCAAGTAGGTTAAAAAGGGGGAGATACCCAAAGGGTGAACTATTCTAGTAAGTGAAATATTCTAGATCCCTGTATATAATACAAGAGCATGAATACCAAAGCTCTAGCTCTAGATTGTTTAAAGTCCAAAAACGGTATATCGATAGACAGACAAATAAATAATGAGATAGATTGGACTCGGAGAATCTATCTACAGCCTCTTACTCAAATCTCCACAAAGCCATCATACCCTGCCTACTTATTTACAATGATTACAGGGTATAAAAACGCAACCGTGTGTCTGTGTGTGTTTTTTTGTACATTTGTGTGTGCTTATCATAAAATGTTTAATAAAAACCATCTGCCCCTGGCTGACACAACAGGAACGCCGCCCCGCAAAAAAGCCATACCTCCCCCTCCACCCACCAACCCTGCTAAGCAGGCACAGAAGGAATATTATTATATATGGGCCACAGCGGGATTTGCGAGAGTTGAAATGGGCCAAAAAACTGAAAATGATTTAAAATATTTCTTTTGACAGCGACGCAAAATGTTTTGGCCACTTACCGAATATTTTTCGGGGCCCCAAATAAGTACGCCAGCGTTTAAAAATTCGCCCCCCGCCCCCCCTCTCACTCGCTCCTTCTCTTCCTATCTCTTTCCCCTCTCTCTGGTTGGTTTTAAGTGCGTGGCTTGAAGTGTGAGGCTATTAATAATAAAGGGAAAATCTAAAACGAAATTCAATAAGCGTGATTTGGACAGCCAACCGATACGAACCGACCAAGCAACCGGTCAACAGCAAACAAACCCCTAACCCTCGCGCACCCCCGCCCTCCCGCTGCCCACGCTCCGCTCCCGGCCGAGTCAGTCAGTTTTGCTCCTTGGCCTGGCGGGCTTGGCAAAATATTTAAGGCGGTTGGCCTAAGGATGCCAATAAATCAAAGCGGAAAAAAGGCTGCCGAACAATGTGCGGCATGTGTAGAATTTGCTTTTGGACCACACATACTCACACACACACACACCAACACACACACAACCACACAGAGACACGTTCAAAGAGTTATGCGCTCTTGGGGCACATTTGTGAGTGTGAAAAATATTGAGTTTGAGTCTCAGTCTGTGCTTATTCGTAAGTGTCATTCGAAAACGATTAAACAAGTTGTAGAGCATACTTTTAAAACTGTAAAACACAGTTCCAATAAATTATTAGCCAAATTCTCAAATCTTCAATCTTTTTGAAAACAATTAACCAAGTTTAAAGTGTACTTGAAATTTCAATGATTTATTTGATTTAAAGAACTCTGTCAAAGAGTCTATCTCTAGACAGAACGAAATAAAACTAAACTTTCCTGGACTTTCCAGAAAATTTGCTTAACACATCTCCAATTAATGCTCAAACATTTTTTTTAACTTTGCTCCTTTCAACTGTAAATCAGGCCACAATAATATTTATGTATATTTCAGATTCACTTAGAAAACTTCTTAATTTGGCGCTGCTTACAAATATTTCAATTAAAGCTAAAAGACTAAAGCGAACGTTTTTTTTTATGTGGTCAGCGGCTTCGCTGAACGAGTTGGTTAATTGAATTTTTTGCACATTTCTTTATGTCGCGTCCACGGTCACGTGCATAAACCAACAAAAAAAAAAAAAAAAAAGGATATGAAAATAAAGAAAACTGCTCACAGTTCAATAAAATTAATGGAAAAGCACACACACATTCAGTGCGATGCAAGCGTCAGAAATCTATGAGTAAGAATTTGACCAATGCATCGTGAGGCAGAAGGCAAGATGCATACCACTAGCTGTGAACGAGTAGGCATGTGGGTGGGTGGCCAGAGACAAGGGGCTGGCACTGGAGGAGCTTGAGGGCGTGACGCGTGCTAAGAGCGCAAAGCTTGTAAGCGGCTTAAAGTTGTACAAAGTTTTTCAAGCGCATTCGCCAGTCACCAAAGGCGGCAACGATGGCGACGCTGGAAAAAGTTATGAGTGGCTGTGGATCATGCGCGCACACACTCACACACCCACATACACACACACACACCAACACACACATTTATTCAAAAGAATATATAAGCTTGTCGCGGCTCCATTGCAAGCCCAAACAAAGCAAAGTGCTGCACTTAGAGAAAAGCGCCTGCTTTAATTATTAGGGGTAGTAGTTAGAAATCACAAAAGTTCTTAAAATTTAAAGTACATTTTGTAGTTGAATATTCTTTAATAAAGTGAGATTTATTCTTGATGTCACAATAAACAGAACAAACAAAAAATTGTCAAATACTTAACATACTTAAAAAATGCACATATTTAAATAAATAAATATGTTAAATAAATAGGCGCAAAAAGTTCTGAATGGGACCACATTTCAAAAAACAGGTTCTTTTTAACAAATTATGAAGCAAGATATTTACTTTTAGGCAAGAAGAATTGACAGAAATCGTTTAACTTTATTTTTTAATTAAATTAACTTTTCGTCTCAAGCTTCTTTATAAATCTCTTGGTTTTGAGCTGTGCACGCTGTGAAAGGGATTGCGAGGGACCTGACAAAGAATAAATACGACAAAAATTGTAGTTTACAAAATAATGAAAATAGAAGAAAGTTTACAATTTAATGTAAAAGTAATTGATTTTACATATTTAGTTCTTATTTTTTAAAATTTCTTTTATCTGCTATAATTATTTCAATTTAATTGTCTGCGCATAATAACAAATTTAATAAATATTTATAAAAATATTAAATTACGACCAGATCTCAATCAGCAACCTTCCGCTTGATAGTTCGATGCTCAAAGACCTAAGCTCCAGAGTCGCATTCCCTTAACTAAGCTTAGATATTTTCTCTCAGTGTATGAGCGAGTGCTGCCAACTGACTTTGGTGATGCTGGTGGCCACATCGCCGTTGAGTGTAGTAAAAAGCGCCCAGCTGGAGCATGTAAAAGGATTAAGTTCGCTTAATATCATTGATGAGCGTGGCGCACAGAGTCCATGGCCGAGTCCAGAGCGTTAGCAGCTTCTTCATTTGCTCTTCTGCTTTGAACAAGTGTCTGTAATGCCTGCTTTCAATGGGACTTTGTTTCAAAGAGCAGCAGCGCTGAGCTCTGAGATTTGAGCTGAGCGGCTGAGTCAATAGTTGAGGCGCTAAAGCAGCTGCTGCATTCCCAGCAACAAATTTGTGACGGGGAGAGGATGTGGAAGTGGGAGGATGTGGTTCATGCATGATCCATAAGCCGGTGGCAGGAAGTACCCAGCCATTGAATTCATGCCCCGAAGGTCAATCGTTGTCTAATTAAAAATGCAACAGCCGCCGTTTAAAAAGTAAACAATGCAAAAAAACATGTTATTGTACTCGTACTTCCCTGAGTCGGTCTGCCAGCCTTATGCAAATATCTTCAAGTGCGTAGCGAACAAAAATTTAAATTAAAATAAAAAAACGACAATGAACGAGAATAAACGAATAAAAATGAAAAACCTTGGAACAATACACAAATGTAATGAATATTTACGAATTCGTAAGAACAACGGCAAAGCGCAAAACACGTGCGAAATTTCAAAAATATTCCCACACACACACACACACACACACACACCCCTCCTGTTAAGCATGGCGAGTGTAAGGATTGCCTTTTGTATTTACGCTCCAAAAATTACTGGAAAATTTTCATTTAATTATGAAAACACGTAGCCGAAACTCAGAAACTGAGCTGCCAAGTTGTTTGCTTGACAGCCTTCCACGTGCTAATTAAAAGCAAAGGCAACAGTTATTCTCAGCCCTCCGACAAACTGGCCAAAAGTGTGTGGCAGAACCCCCGATAAGCACTTCCAAACTAAACTATAATCACAACTGTGCATCTTTACACCAGAGACTTACCCTTTTTTTTTCCACACACTCGCCTGGGTGTCGTTAGAGCTGCAATGAAAAAACATTGATGTACTTCAATTAGATTGCCGCACTTGTGCAAGGATTTTAAGTCTTTGAGGATGCTTCGAATAGCTTATTCAATTTGCAATATATAAGGATTCAAATAGAAATCTATAAAGTTGCTATTTAATTAGAGCTTAATAAACAACAGATTTGTATTCATATATTCTACAATTTGTGCTGATTGATTGATTGATATAGAAATGTGAATAACATTGTTTTTAACTTGAACTAAATACACAAAAGATTGGCATCTCATTTTTATATATTCTACAATTTTCTCTGCTTGATTAACCGATTGATTCGTAACCTAGTCTCTTTTAGTGACTGAATGATTGGTAAATAAATTTGAAAGATGCTTATTAATTAGAACTACACAAACAAAATATATTCTACAATTTGTGCTGAATGATTGACTGATTTATTGTTGTTGAACGCATAGCACAAGCGATGAGAATATTTTATTATTTTCTAAATATTTACAATTTGTTTTAATTAGTTTTGTTTAATTTCCACATGATGGGAAACTGGAGGAAAACTATTTTTGTTTTTTTATTCGATATGCTGCTAATTTCAAACATATTTTCAAAACTCTGAAGTAAAAGACTTTAATGAAATGCAAAAAAAAAGCCAGCATAGTGAGAGCATTCAAGTTTCTGCATATTTATTTTTCGTTTGATGTTGTTGCTGCTGGAGTGAAACATGAAGTCATTCGACTGTCATTTCAGAGTCGAGTCTAGTCAATGTCTTGTCATCGTCAAGTCAACATCAATGGGCAGCTTGCTTAGATGCGGCATCCTTGGCTTGATTTCTCATTGCCCGAGAGCTGGCAATCTGCGCACAGTAAGCTGCTCATATTTACAAAATGTCTAATGAAAATATTTTCCTCGAAGCAGATATTCAGGCGCACCAGACTCTGTCTGAAGAGGGAAAAAATCAAATTAGCTGCATGAATGACGCTGGCAAATGCGCTTGCCGGATTAACAGGGTGGCATAAAGTGGGGGCGGGGGGCGTGGCGACTGCTACAACATGGCCATCAATGGTAGTTTGTATTTGTATTTTTTTTTTTTTTTTGCTTCAGATGCCATTGCAGCTTGTGGAAAGGCTGCTTTGTGTGATTGATGCAGCTTCATGTTTGTGAGCTAATTGCGGGCTTTGCCTGAGACGAGCGAGGGTTGGGGGAAATTGAGTTGAAGGGGGAGTTTCCCGTATGAAAAGTACTCATTGCATTGCTCGTTAATGCTATTCGGTTAGTCATAATTATTCTAAAGCTCCAAATGAGTGTCCTAATGGTCTCTTTTAAGAGTTCAGCTGTTATCCTTGATAACGTCCCACACACAAGTGTGCGCCACAAAACCGAAACCGATGGAAAATCTAAAATCTCAACTTTTAACTCTTTGCCTCGTGCTTTTGAATGTTGCATGAGGCGAGCGAAAAAATCAGATAACGCATTTAAAATAAGTAGAAAGCACAAAAGCGCACGACTGACTAGATGAGACAAACAACAACAGCAGCAGCAGCAACATGAATAGCACAAATAAAAAAACATTGCCAAAGGCGACACACAAAAAGCTAAAAAACATGCTAGAAGGGGGGAGAAGAAAAGTTCCCCCCAGGTGGGGCCTGAGCCGGGGCTGGGAAGGCTTCGAGCAGAAACTGTATCAAGTAACTGAGCCGCGCCAAGCTGCATAGTGAAAATGCAACTGTGCGGAAAACTGTGCGAACATTTTCATTTTCAATGCAGCTCTTGGCACACAAACAGAGGGATGGTTAGGGAGAGGGGGGAGGGTCGAGGGGCAGGGTTCGTACCAGAAACAGAATCAGAATCGGAATCAGAATCAGGACACTAACAACAACTAGCAAATAGACAACTTTAAGTACAAGCCCCGCCACACACACACACGCTCACACACACTCGCATACACACACATGTGCAAGCGGCAAAAACTTGCAGCGAATCGCAGAAAATCGCTTAGAATGCAGCGCGCCCCAAAAAAAAGAAAAGAAATAATAAAAACCAGAAAGAAAAAAATGTACGCAAAAAGAGGAAAAATTTGGAAAAGCCCCGAACAAAAGCATATGGGCGTCAGTTGGGGCTGGGCAGGGCCCACCGCAACGTCTGACTCCCGACTCGAGTCGAGCTTTTCTTTCAATTTGCAACATTTTCTGTTGCACGTTGCACGTACCCAAAAATAACTTCCGACCGTCGCTGGCTGATTTTTTTCCGCCTTAGTCAACTCGCTGCGAAATTGCAGGAAGTGATTCCATTTAAAGTTGGCAGCGACCAGCAAGGTTAGAAAGAAAACAAGAACTCGGTTAAGGTTAAGCGACAAAGCACTCGTAAAATGTATCTGCCCGCTATCAATGGATATCTGTAGTGCGAACCCCCGCCGGCCCTGCCAGCCGTATCTGTTTATACTTGTATAATTTATATAAAAAATTCAATTAGCCATGCTGTCCAAAACACAAGCCCCAGCATAGCCAATAGTTTGTTGCCGCCGTCCCATTAACAAAATAAACTTTCTCAGCTGCCAATCAGTCGGGCCACGGCCAACACGGGGGCCAGTTCTACAGCTATTCGTACGGTCTCCCAGCCAACCAGTCAGCCGGCCAGTTAAGGGAAGCCTTTAATAAACCCACATAAAACTTGGCAAACATTAAAACAATGGCTACCCCCAAAGCACAGTGGTTCAATTATCTATTATTAGGCATCATCGCAAACATATTTATTGCTGGCTTATTGTGAAGCAAGAGAAAACTCTTTTCTTTTTAAATTATTTTATTAGTTAAGGTCGCTGTTGCCGTATGCGCCATTTGTGTGTCTTGGCATTTATCTAATATTCCCTCCACTGGCATTGTTTGAATATTATCAAAGTAGTTCGCTGACATGCTGGCATATATGCATGTCTAGGAATCGATTTTGTGGATATATCATCTAATATCATGCGAACCTCTTTAAGTTGAATATCTGAATACATTCGATTTTATTCACTTGATAAATTTGGTTAGCTTTCGGCACAAGGATACATCTCCGTTCTTAGAGGATCACACGCATGTCTTCGCTGGAGCAGCTCGAACCCAACTCTCAGCTATTGTTGTATTATTCTGTTAACATCTGTTCTGTCACATAACAGATGTCTAACATTCTATCGGCCTGTAGAAAGCTCTCATCGAGGTTTATTTTTCTTTTTAAATTTATCGATTGTAACTTGTAATTTCTAACAATGAATGAGAGAAGAAGGTATAGCTACAAGCATGTAACTTATATTATATTAACATATAGGGATTGTTACAATGATGGAATATTCACAAAAAAGGGGAACGAGGTATTTAAATGATTCGCTTCGTAGATAGGTCACCAGGGTGTAGCCTTTAGAGGCGCCCCTCTCAAATAAGGTCAGCCGGGATCCTGGCGACGGATGCTGTTGCTGCTTTTGCTTTGCTTTTTTTTAACCATAACTGAAGAATGTCGGCTCTTGTATAGTATAATTCATAAAATAGTAGCAATAGGTATGTAATAAATGGGAATGTTCAAAAGCTATCAACCCAACTCATAAATCCGCACGCAACATCCTTCATCCATATGCTCGCCAGATCCCTGCTCAATTGACTGCCTGACTGGTTGCCTCACTTAAATATATCTCAGCCTACGTTTGGTTTATTTTTCGATGATTATTTTTGGTAAAATTTGCATAGGAGTTTCGCCTGAAATAATGTTATCCACTGTGCACATGAGCCATTAGCAAAAACTTTGTTACAAAAAAGAAACGTAAAAAAATCACAAATTGCGCTTCAATGTTAAATGAATTGTTGTCTTAACTGCTAGACAAGCAGGGCTTGAGTGTGTGTGTGTGTGTGTGTTTGGGGGTGTATGGCTGTGTGTGTGTCTCCATACAGATGCTGGCAAGAGCGCTGGCCAAAAAGTTAGTGAAATTCATTTTTGGAAAAGTGCAAAATAAGGTAGAGAAATAATACAAAAAAAAAACTAAAAAAAAATTGTGGCGGTTAAAAAAAAGTTTAAATAACTTTGGCAACTAAATTTAAGTTGGGAGGGGAGTAGAATCAGAGTGCGGTGAGGGAGGGGGTGCAGTGCCCGGCAGCAGCAGCCAACAGCCGTGACAAAGTTGTAGGAGAGAGGGGAAGGGGGGGGGGGGGGGTAGGGGCCAGTTGTTGTTGCTGATAAAAACTGCAGCAGACGCAAAACTAATTTGCGTGGTTATGTAAATTAGAGTTGGAGTTGACTCTGCGATAAACTTGTTGAGGGCGAAGAACGCTAAAAAAGAAATTCGCAGCACAATGCGTAACCTGGATATAGACCGGAGAAATGCGAGAAATGGGGGAGAAATTGCAGATAGGATGTTGTGCACCTAGGCAAACCAAACCGACACACACACAGGGTATTGTGGTACCTGACTCGCTTGTGTGCATTTTGTTTGTGTTTTTGTTGCCCTAATCCAAGAGCACAGCCACAGAAGATAACCAAATCGTTGCACAGACAAAGACGCCGCCCGCCCTAACAACTAAATAATGTGCACAAAATTTAGTGTTGAATCCGATGCACTGTATACACTCAACGAAAAAGCCAAACAGGTGCATAAACTCAAAGTAAATGACAGTGTATCAAGCAGGGGAAGCACATATCTGACGGCCAAAATGAAATAAAACGTTATCATTATACCCTGCACCCATTTGAAATGGGTCATGTACATATATGTGCAAATGTATGTAATAAGCAGAAGGAATCATCTTCGACCTCATAGAGTATATATATTCTTAATCAAGTTATGCATATATTATGCCTATTAGTTATTATTATCAATTTCTAAAATCTCACTATAATTAAGAACAGCTTTTTTTTCTCTGAGTGCATGTATCTAGCAGAAAGCCGACAACAGGCAGCAAATGCACATGGCAATGGCAGCCTGGTAAGATAATTTTTCGTCGAGCAACATACACCCACACACACCCACTCACACACAGTTATTTA